GCTATGGTCACCTCTCTCAACCTCAAAGTGACAGAAAATAAAATCCAAATTGCACAAAAACGAGACCCATTTACACAAAACTTGTATAAACAAATAATGGAAAGAGGAGACATAACGGAAAATCAAACAACCTCATACACCATACTAAATAAAACAATCTATCGTGTTCTAAAACTTCCTCACAAAATCCTATATCAACTGTACATACCGCCGTCTCTACGTCAATCCGTCATCCATAATCACCACCATGATCCAGTAACTAGTCATTCTGGTCGACAAAAAACCTACAGAACATTGCATTCATTTGCGTACTGGAAAAATATGAGCAGAGACGTAAAAACTTATATTAAAAACTGTGCATCCTGCTCAAAAACAAAACTAAATGTAAGTAACTGGGAGTAAAATAAAAACTAAACTTACCAGTTTTCGTCTTCATAAAGGGGGGTGTGTGTGGCATCCCGAAGTTGTACAGCCTTGGTTTGATTGATTTCACCTGTTTTTTTCTCTCACCTCCGACCTTAATTGATGATCTGTCACCTGTGTTAGTCACAGTGACTTCCCCTTTAAAAGCCGCCCTCCCCCTCAGTTTGTTGTTGAGTTCGTTCACTTGTTGGCTAAGTCACAAGTTGATCAGCTGCTTCCAAAAACCCGCGTTAAAAAAGCTCCATAAAGAGGTGTTTAATCCCTCCGAGGAACACTTTATCAGCCGTGGAGTATAGTAGGTATTGCTGAAGCCAAACCCAACCAAAAACAGAAAAGTCTGCTGGAACCGACGCCCAAAAAGTTTCGTCTTGTGTCATTCCCCAATGTATTACCTCTCAACAAAAGCAAACTGAGACTTAAACTTAAAACACATCAGCTGCATAAAAAACACTCATATAAAGAACTCCTAGATGGAGTTCTTTTTTTTTTTTTGTATGGGTGTAGTTTTTTATGGGAGTGTTTCTGTTTGTTCAAACCATGTTAAGTTCTATCTTAACCTTGTGGAGTCAAGCCTCCTACATTTGCTTGTGAAGTCAAGTCAAGCCATCCATCTACTTCTTGCTGGTGAAGCCTAGCTGGAAGCTCTCTTTTTTTGGACTCGGAACTAAGTAGATTTAAAACCACATATGGACACTGGGGTGGGAACTAGGGAGATTTGTTTGTTGTGTATGTATTATTTGTATTGTTGTATTTTGTTTCTCTATTTGTTGTAAATAATATATTCGAGATAACTATTTTCAGTTTTGTCTGTGCTCATTCTCTTTTGTTAAACACTATTTTGTCACTTAGAGTTAACAGGGTGTGTATTTGTAATTTCTTTATATTTTACATGTCCTGGTGTGTTTGGTAAACAAACAACTCTAAACCATATTATAAAACTAACAGCTAAATATCATTTGGTTAAAAACATCCTACTTGCCAGGAGGGATACCTGGCTGGCGACCAAATTAACTATTCAAATTAACATCAATAAAGCATCAAAATACCAGTACCGTCACAAATGTCTTGCACAGTTTTGATCCTGGCAATTCTCCCACCCATCAACTGGTATAAACTGCTGATAAACAGATTCCAGTCAGTGTTTTTTGGATTTCTGTAAGTGACTGGGTATGGTTTTCCTGTCTTCAGCTTAAAGTGACTTCGTCGATGGTCTGACATGGTTTCATCTGGGAATACTTCCCAGTCACATCCTTTGTTTACCAGGTCCATAGACCCGACTGTTACATCAATGACCTCCTCCCTATTAACAGTTTGGAAGTTAGGTACATTGCCCTGGTTATAGACTAGCAGGTCTTCTGTCAGCAAGTATTCTAACAGAGATCTGCCTCTAGGTTTAATATCAGAGCTCCCCCAGCACACATGATGGGAATTAGCATCACAACCAATGAGTACTGGGAGGCTCTTTTCTTTGGCATAATCGACTATTGCCACAAACTGATGGAGGTGGCTGTGAATCAAATGGCAAATAAACCGAGGCTGCAATGATCGGTCTGGATTTGCCATTTGCCTGAATGTCCAACTGCACTGCTACAGCATCACCTGTTGTTAGGCGGGGCAGTGCAGTGTATCTTACATCTCTTGTCAGGACTACTGCTGCTCTGGGTCTGCAGCTGCTCACATCATATAAAAGTGTGCCCCCAGGGAATCCCAGGCCTTGTACCATAGATTTAACTATCCAATGTTCCTGGATCAAGGCTATGCCTGTATGCATCCTACTAAGGCTGGAACACAACGATGTACTTGCATCTTTACAATGATGCAAGTTGCTCTGTATAAATTCCATCATCCCTAAAACTACAGAGATTAAGACCCTTTTCTCCATCAGAGGACACCAACATCATGTCAATGTGCTCATCACCTGGAGACCCCAGCGCTTGTGAGGCTCCGACCACTCCCTGCTGGGGTGCAGTCAAGAGGCTACACTCGCACTGGGTACTCCCTGTAGACACAGTGACAGCAGTGGCAGAAGCCATCGCCGTCACTCAGCCCCAGGGCACTAAACCCTCCTGTTGCCCAGGACCCAACACATAAGCATCAGGTCCTGGGGCCAGAGTAAAGGTTGTTCCAGTMATTATATTACCRGCCCATCCAGCCTGGTTGCCCACCAGGCAGGCCAGAGGCACGGTCTTAGGACCACCTGCAGCATCCATGCCCAATGTGAAGCAGGCTGGGTCCCCGGAGATTTTAGAACCCACTTCTACTGGGTACTAGGGGCCGGTCCCTTTTCCGTTCATTTTAAAAGTCTTGTCAACTTGTCATCCACYGGGGGTAGACGACTGACGAGTGTTGACGGTACCCKGGTTTTACATCAGAGTTTTCCTTCTCCTAGGTGGGTTGCCTGTCAAGGCTATCGAGCCCCACCTGCCCGGCTGCTTTTGGTTTGCGGTACCCTATTCACCTTTCAGCTTATTTGGGCACACCCCTGTACACCAGGAACAGGGAACCCCAATCCACCACCTGGGGGACGTGCCTCTACGCAGTGCAACCTCAGCACGAGGGTCATGGTTAGTTAGTTCCGGTTTGACACTGTAAGGTACGGCAAGAAAAAAATTAATGCCAAGTGGCGGAGATTAAAAAACACCCTTGTTAGTGAGGAGGATCAAAACATACACAAATGTCAGATTTGTCACCTAATATTTTCACACTAAAATAAAAACAGTCATACTTTGAATCATATTTTGTGACAGTTGTTGCAGCGGCCGTCTTAACGGACTTGAGTCAACATAGGTTAATGTGTTGCAAACGTCCAACCGATGATTGTTTTGAAAGTTTCATTCGAACACATTCAGTGATTGATTTAGTGATTCATGAGATATTCTGCTAACAGTACTGACAAACCAACAAACATTATCACCCCTGTGTCTTTTGATCAAGTCCTATGTTTTACACATTACCTGTTCAATCATTGCCTGTATTGTCTCTGTCTGTATTTCAGGCATTAGTAGTTCTTTCTTTTTATTACTTATATTTTTACTAAATCATGGAGTTTTAGTCACCATCAGGATTATTTCTTTGCTTTGCCTGGAATCTTGAAATGACTCCCTGTCTAAACAGGGGCGGCTGTGGTGTAGTGGTAGGACAGTTGACTTGGGACCAGAAAGTCACAGGTTTGACTCCCTGCCATGCCCACATGTCATGGTGTCCTTGAGCAAGACACCCAACCCGCAACTGCTCCCCAGGCAGCTAACATAACTGCCCGCTGCTCCACTTGGSTGCTTCTCCTGTGTGACAGGTCAAATGCAGAGCACAAATATTGTCATAATGAAAGAAAATTGTTAAGAGTGTTCGTTTACTGTTTTCTGTGCTTGAGCCGGACAGAAAATACACCAATACTTGGATATTGAATATAAAAGAGTGCATACAACCACACACAGAGCTCTGGCTGAAGGCAGTTTTATTATTGTCTGTCTGCAATCAGGCTGTTTTCAGGAAGTACAAGTTTTATCATTGTTTTTCGGCATTTGGTCCCGCCCACCACATACATATGGCTGAAACCAAACACTCAAACAGGATTAACTCTCTACTTTTCAAATCAACGGTTTCTATGTGTTGAATCTGTGTTCAGGCATGCTTCGACATAAAATCATCAATTCAACCAAAAAATAACCACATTATAAAAAGATATTGTTCACCTAATAAAAAGAATATACAATGTATAGTGTATTTAAAATCAGTGTATAAGCAAACCCCAATAAATTTCTTCAATAATATGGGAACATGCATTGATGACCAATAAAGCACATTTATATATATTGTGTAGGGGTCACCTTGAGTGAAATAATAGAGGAAAATATCTTGGACCTCAGACCTCTGATGGGCCTTTAAAGGGACAAAAACTCTGTTCCACTTAGAACTGAATTTAGGCCACCTCAGGTCGCCTTAACTTGTCAAAGAGACATTCTCTTTTTCTTAATCAGATGATAGACAGAATTATCTTCTTTTTATTTGATTTATTGTTTTCTTAACTGAAAGTTATTACGCATTTTGATAATCAGAGAATGTTTATCAAAGTTGTAGGAGAAAAGAGGACAGGTCTCTTTTCTCCCTCCAATATGATTTCARCTATGTATGGATTTTCTGTGCAAAAATCTTATTTAACTAAACTATTCTTTATGGTTTAAAGTTGATGAAACATCAACRATTTTGTATAATTATTGTGATTGTTGTCTTCTGTGATTTGTTCGTATTTCTCCACCTTGCTGCAAAAAAAATTCCCTTACGGGGACAATAAAGTGATGATGATGATGATGATTGTAAAATGTTTTTGATTTTTATTTAATGACTTGTGTTGCTGACCTCTTGTTCAGATCACCAATGAAGAATAGATCTTGATCTCAATGGGTTTTATCTGGTTAAAAAAGGGGGATAAAGGAGATTTTGGCGATAACTGTTTTGCTTCACACTAAATTTGAATTATTAAAGGACATCAGGTTATTCTTATTTAGATGACACAAATTAGAGTTCCACAGACTGTGCCAGTGGACCAGCTAATTATGTGTGTGTGTGTGTGTTGTCAGCTCCTGAAGGCCACTTGCTGACATCAGCTCATCTTATCTACATGGGCAGTCAGATTGCAGATGGCATGGGCTACCTGGAGGACAGAAGCATCGTCCACAGAGACCTGGCTGCCAGGAACGTTCTGGTGGGAGACCATCTGGTCTGCAAGGTGGCTGATTTTGGTCTGGCTCGAATAATAAAAGTGAGTATGGTGTGTTGAGGTTATACTGTACACACAGTTCTAGCTCCTTTCATTTTCCTTTTACATTTCTACAAAACAACTTTGTATGTGCACCACACTAAATTAAACCTGTCTCATATGCAAATCATTGGTTTAGATAAAAATCTTGACTCAAATCTTTTAGAGCCTGATAAAATCTTTTTTTCTCCATTTTTACTTGATAAACAAGAGTTAGCTGAAGTGCTTTGGTGATGTTGACTCGCTCCTCTGTTTTCATATGACTGATTGTTCAGGTCGTTATATTTTTGTTACAGTCAGTTACTATGTGTGCCAACTAAACTTACTGAAAAGTTGTTGTTTTTTTGGGGGGGTATTGTTTGGGTACGCAAGATTCAAGAAGTTTTATTGTCAGAATGCAAACACATAACACAATTTTGTTAGTACCTCACAGCTACAAAATGTGCAGCAATTAACACACAAACCACATTCCACATTATTACAAAAAACTTCATTTCTGGACATTTATGGTTTGATTTCTTTGTATGTATGGATCACTTGGGTTGTTACTGCCATCTGGTGAAAATTTCATGTCATTAGCATGGTGCGCTGGTGGGCTGCGGGTCCGAAGCTGGGGGGTTGGGTTGGCTGGGGGCAGGGCCGGTGGCCCGTGGGAGGAGGTAGGCCAACCCAGCCTGGGTGTCTAGCGTGCTATATGTTCTGTGAGTTGTCTGAATGATGGGGTGGGCGTAGTATTTCTTCTGGGGTGGGGCTGGGTGGATGGCCGTGGTGGCGGCAGCGGGCTGTGCTGGGTCGGCTGGCTGGCCCCTTTGTTGTGGCGGGGGCTCGCTCTTGGTCCCTCCTTGCGCTGTCGGCGGCTGGGTGTGCGCTCTCAGCTAGATCGTCCTTGTCCTTGCTGGGGTTCAGTAGCTTCTTTGGGCTGCGGGTTGGCTGTAGGGCTGGGGGTCGGGTCTTGGGGGTCTGTGCGGCTCTGGGGCGGGTGGTCTGTTGGTCCCGGTTTCTGGYGGTCCTCCGGGCTCTGTCTGTCCATGATCTGGGGTCTTCTAGGCCTGGCGGTCTGTCTGGAGGAGGAGGTCTTGGGGGCCTCAGTCCCTGGGTGGGTCTCGGGAAGCGGGGGAGTCTATTGGGGTCAGCGAGAAAGCTGGCCCCCTGTGAGAGCATTCTTGCTCCCTCAGTTTTTTTCTCCCCATCCCCCAACACACACCTCCACCCTCTTCATTTTCAACTGCACTCACGTAGGGTTTTTGGGGCACAGGTGTGTTACAACGGCAACAGTTTTACATCTCTGTTTGCTGTGGCCACCTGGGCTCCAATTTTAYTGTACACCTTAGACATTTACTCATAACCTCATAGCCTCATAACTTTTACACATAGGAACTTGGGAATGGGCACCCATGCATGTAAGGGGCGGGATGGGACAGTCTCACCACTGATGCCTGTGCCCACTCACAATGCTTGCTTTTAGACATTAGCTACGGTTACATGGACAAAAGTAATCGAATTAAACGGCTTTCGGAATAAAAATGCATCATGTAAACAGCCAGTTCCGATTATTCTGATCCGATTTAGCTCRATTCGAATGAACTTTTAATCCGAATGAAAAGGGTGAGTTTTGCCGATTGATAATCGGAATGACATTCATGTAAACACTTAATCGGATCATCTTATTCTGATTGTAGAAAACTGACCTGTGTGCGCATGTCTGCTGACTTTCATTCACCCGGTTAGAGGAGGTGGGACAGCAGCTGTGCTGCACCGCGCAGAACTTTTCCTCCTCGCTTTCTTAACAGATGAGAAAGGAG